GAAGGTCACAATTGAGCAGATTCCGAAAGGAAGTAAAGAAACGGGCCATACGAGTATCTGAGGGAACAGCATCCAAGGCAGCAGAAACAGCAGGTGCAAAGGCACTGAGCCAGGAGCAGCCTGATGGGCTTTACAAACAGCACTTAGGGCAGTGCAGCTGTAGTGGAGTGAGCAAGGCAGAGAGCAAAACGGCTGGGGCTGCATCGTATGGGGCCTTATAATCATTTGTAAGAACTTCATCTTTTACTGTAAGTGAAAGAGTGAGAAGCATTTGGAGAGGTTTGAGCTGAAAAGTGACACCTACCTTAATATTTAATAGAATCGCTGTGGTTACTGTGTTGAGAATGAATTGTAGCAGATCAATTAGGAAGCTTTTGCAGTAATCCAAGCAGCAGAAGATAGTGGCTTGGGCTAGGGTGTTAGAAATGGAGGTGCTGAAAGCAGTTGAATTCAGTATATATTTCAAAGGTAGCACTGACAGAATTTGCTAATGCATTGGTTGTGGAGGAAGAGAGAAACTAAGAATGACTCTGTGGTTCTTGACCTGAGCAATTGGTTTTTGTTGCCATTTCCTAAAGTGGAAAAGACTGAGAGGAGCAAGTTTAGGGTAGAAGGTGTATCATCAGGAGCTCAGTTTGACATGTGTTGAGTTTGAGATACCTGTCATTCAAGTGGAGATGTTAATGAGGCTGTTGAGTATATGAGCTAAAGGAGAGGTCCAGATAGATATAAATCTGGAACTGATCAGCACATAGATGGCACTTAAAGCCACAAAACTGACTTTAAATGCTAAGAGTGTAGCTGTAAGTAGGAAAGAGAAAGTAAGTGACCTGAGTCCTGAGGCCCTCCAGCATTTAGAAAGTCAGAGAGATGACAAGCAGCCAGTAAAGGAGACCAGAGAGGAAGGTGGGAAACCCATGGTATACTGGAACCCAAGTCAGCGAAGTGTTTCTAGGGGGAATGGTCAGCTGTTGTAATTGTTGCTGATAAATCGGTTGGGGACTAGAATCAACCATTAGATTTTGCAATATAAAGGTCATCTGTGACTTGATGAGCAGTTTAGTTAGAATGGTTGGAGATAAGGTCTAAGTGAAGTAAATTTAAGAGTTAATGGGAGGAGAGAAATTGGAGATAGACCATTTTTTGAAGCATTTTATTGTAAAAATGAAGGAAAGAAATAGTGTAGTACTGGAGGGAAAAGTAGGGTCAAGAGAGCAATTATTGGGTTGTCGGAAAAGTCAAGACGTATTTCTTCTGTTTTTCATTGCAAAAATGCAGCATGACTTTTCCGACAACCCAATATTTTTAAAACAAAGAGAAAATAATTGTTTGTGGGCTGATGGGAAGAATCCAGTAGAAGTGCTGATAATACCAGCGTGAGAACACAAAGTTCCAGAGTGAGATCTTCAAGTGAGCCAAAGGGGTTGGGACCTTCTGTACCAATAAAGAGTTGGCCTTAGTGAGGAGCATGCGTGCTTCATCCTTAGGAATGGGAGACAAGTTAGTTTGTGGGCAGAGATGCAGGTTGGTATGTAGAGGCTCTGGTAGGAGCTTGTGGAACTTCTGCTCAATTCTCTTTTCTCATCAAATTAGGAAGTAATCAGCTAAGAGTGAGAACATAGGAGAGGAGAAGATAGACGGTAAGAAACAGTCATCCACAAGAGTAAAATTCATTCTCTTTTGGACTTTTCTTAACTCCATAAGCACGGAGAAAGGAGAAGACAGGAAATGATCCTCTAGACAAGGAGGAGTAGGAATGAACTAGGAAACAATATGATTTTTGGGCAGCATGAAGGGCACACTAGAGTTTCATTGTGATGAATTTAAAGTGTATTTTTTTCCAGCCACATTTTAGCTGCATGGTTGTAAGCACAGACTCAGTGACAAGGTAGATTTAACTAGGGTTGTGGTTTAGCCGGACAAGTTCAACAAAGTCCAAAAAGGACAGGGAAATTGGGGATGTATGCAAATATGAGTTGTAATCAAACAATACGATGAATGTTTTAAATTAAAAAAAAATTATTACAGTAAAAGACACATTGCCATTATTCGCCATCAAAATACTCCCCCTCACTTCGAACACACTTATCCCATCATTCTTGCCACTTCCTTAAACAGTTCTGGAAGTCCTCTTTCATGAGTATCTTTAGTTGTGCTGCTTGTGTCTTCCTCAATGTCCTGAATTGATTCAAAACGTTTACCTTTCATGGTCATTTTGACTTTGGGAAACAGCCAGAAGTCACATGGTGCCAGATCCAGTGAATAAGGTGGATGAGGATGCACTGTAATGTCTTTATTTGACAGAAATTGCTGTACCAGAAGTGATGTGTGACACGGAGCATTATCATGATGGAGGATAATTTACCTCACACTTTAAAACACACCTTCTCTCAACTGTAGCTCACACCGGACTGACTACACCAAAAAAGTTGAAACTTGTCACACACTATTACTGAGGTTTGACACACCGCTTCCTGTATTGAAGATCCCAACCTTTCGGTTGGATGGCACTCGGCAGCAGCATTCACCATATTTTGTGATCACAGCAGAAAGGCTCCACATCACACACATCGCTTCTGATACGGCAATTTCTGTCAAATAAAAACATATGGTGTGTCTTCATCCACCTTATTCACCAGATCTGGCACCGTGCGACTTCTGGCCCTTCCCCAAAGTCAAAATGACCATGAAAGGTAAATGTTTTGAATCGATTCAGGACATCAAGGCAGCCACAACAGTGCAACTAAAGACACTCATGAAAGAGAACTTCCAGAACTGCTTCAGAAAGTGGCCAGAATGATGGGATAAGTGTGTTCGAAGTGAGGGGGAGTATTTTGATGGGGATTAACAGCAATGTGTCTTTTACTGTAATAATTTTTTTTTAATTTAAAACATTCATCGT